ATCACTTTTACGTGCTCCTCGCAAACCTTCAGGTCACTGCTAGCGTCTCAGACACCAGTTCATTCAGCCAGTTCATCCAATGTGCTCTAGGGTGAGTTTAACCATCCTAGTGAAAACATTTCATGTAAATGAAATCTCTGACCTCTCCTCTTCCTAGTCCAATCTGGGTTCTTCCCATTGCTGTCAGGAGGATGTAGAAGAAAAGGTGCAAACGGGTTTCTTGTCATCAGAGAAACATAAAATGTTGTTTCTTCGTGCATTGGACAAGCTTTCCTTGGTCTTCCTCTTACTCCTCACGTCATTATAGGAAAGTCTTTCTTGTTAGTCCTTATGTATGTCCTTTGCTAGCTGTATCTGATTTTTCTGCCTTGACCTTTCTGATCTTGACCCTGTGTTCTTGTGCTCTTCCTTTTATTTTCAGCAGCAGGATCGCAAGATTGTAGAGGAGCCTGTGATTCTGCCAGACTGGTTTCTTGCTGCTCTTCAGATCTGTGCTTTTTGTTGCCACAGTTTGCATTTCTGCCTTAATAGGGTTTAAAAAACCTGCTGGTTCTCCTGAAGTCCTTTGCCCTTAAGCTCTTCTCCTCTGGGGTCTCACCTGCCAGTTCTCAGGGTTCACCGGAGTCTGCTTTCCTGAACTCCCGTTTTTGTTCTGCCCTTTCTCTCCTGTCCCTTCCTGAGAGCAGTGTGCTCTGTCCTTTCATGATCACTGCCACCAGCGCTTCTTCACGTTTGTGTTCCCCACCAGGTATCCACATTAGTCCGTTGCTCACTGGAGTAAATAATACTTCATACCCATGCTGCATTTTCCCTCAAAGTTTCTTGAAAGGCTTCATAATAAAAAGCATTGCTCGTGGAAGAGAGCAATCATTTTAAAAGAGTATCAAGCAATAGCTGATTTATTAAAATAATACACAAGTGACAGGGAGGGGGATGCACTGCCCCACTGAAGAATGCACCTTCATGGAGGTCTGACTGCCAGGGACACTTTGGCACTGCTGGCAAATAATACTGGTAGCTCGCTGGTGTGATGAGAATGCAAACAGGGCTGGACTGGAGGCAGGGGAGAGTGGGAGCGAGCTGGGAGCTCCCTGTCATGTTTAGTGTAGTCTTGCATCGCTCCGTGGTGGCGGGGAGCTGTGGTGGTGATGGCTCGTCTCTGAAGTATCAAATCAAACCTGTTTCACACCTGGAATCTGTAATAAAAGAAGGGTTTTTCTGGTGTGCGTGGATTTGGGGGAGATTTTTTGCTTATGTTATTTTTGGAACGGAAGGAATACCATGTACAATTACCTGCTCAGGGCTTGAGTAGCTGGTGAGGCAGATGATGTGGAGGGAATGGGAAGGTGGGAGTGAAATTACCTCCAAGCCAGTGACTGTGAGACACTCATCAGCCACAAGACATTACTTTCCCCCCCATTAGAAGAGAAACGGCTTTTTGCCAAATAAGCTGCTTTGTAGACATGACCTGGTATGTTTATTAAACAGTTAGAATGTGTTAAATTCAAGGACTGTTAGACACTAATAATTAATAACTGTCCAGCATGCATCATGAGCCTATTGATTTTTCTGCTAACTCGCCCTATTAAATATACAAGGTAGAAGTTATGTAGTTAAACATGTAAGAGTTTTATAAATTCCTGTTATGGTTGGCATTCAGGAAACTTTCCATGTTGGCAGACAGGAAAAAAAGGGGAAACTCAGAAAGCAAAGCTGTTTTAGCTTAAAGGAGCTTTGAGTAGTTAGAGAGCAGTGTTTGAATCTTTGCTTTTGAAGCAGATGAAATGTTTGGGCCAAAGGGCTGGTTTTATTGACACCGGGTCTGGAATTTGTGTCCTTTAGCAC